TCCAAGTAATCAGCGAAAATAAATTGCAAACATCTGTAAAGAATACTAATATACGACCAGTCTTCATTAGTGCTGTTTCCACACATCACGAGGAGTTTGTTATAAAGAGGAATACCTAAATACTTACACAATCTGTTTTGGACGTTTACTTCGTTTGTTTAGAATAGAGACAAGAGTAGGTCGCTCTGTCCCCAATACAAAGATGACGAGAGTTAACTAAAAACTAAGGAATCAGAAGATTAATATGACAACAAATATAGAAGAAACATATAAAAATAAATAAAAACAACCCGGATGAAGACGATATATGTTAGAGCACAATAAAGCACCAATGGCAGTGAATGGTTTTGCCAGACGGAGTTACAGGTGCCTGACTGAACCGGCTTTGTTACTGTGCACACTTAACTCACTTTATCGTTGACTTGGCAAGACTTCCTCCCCGAGCATCGTTGCCAGTCCCCTCCCCCAACCAACCCCCACACCTCCCACTACCCCCAAGCAAAAGCATATCACAACCTGTTGATAAATTGTTTACTATTGTTAATCATTTCCCGCCACTCAATACAAAGTTATTTCCTTAAACAACATTTTTAAATAACCAAGAACAGTTTAACAGCCAAGAATTTTAAACACAAGGCCATTGCCATTGCCGCCCTTACAAGAAAGCTTGCATCCTCTTGCTGCCATCATCTCCAGGCCCTGACGGCCTGCCGCCTTATTCCTCTGGAAAAGAAACCAGGATGTAGACCTATAGGGGTGGGGGAAGTGCTGAGGCGGATTATCGGAAAGTGCATAATGGAGGTGGTAAAGGACGATGTCAGGGCAGCAGCAGGGAACCTACAAGTGTGTGCTGGCCACCAGGCTGGTGGGGAGGCGGCCATTCACGCCATGAGATTGATATTCGAGCAGCGTGATTGTGAGGCCGTTCTCCTGGTGGATGCTTCAAACGCATTCAACATACTTAACCGCAAGGCTGCACTGCACAACATCAAGATCAAGTGTCCTAGCTTTGCGATGTATGTTGAAAATTCGTATAGGAATCCATCAGACCTCTACATAGTAAACAACAAGGCTCTACGAGGTGATACCATCCTGCAGTCGACTGAGGGAACAACACAGGGGGACCCCGTTGCAATGGCAATGTATGCAATAGGCCTATCAGTGCTCCAACAAGAAATAAAGTTTGAAACAACTGGGGTCAAACAAGTGGCATATGCTGATGACCTCACAGGAGCAGGAAAAGTGGAGGACATCAAAAAGTGGTGGGACCTGGTAACAACGCGAGGTCCACAAATAGGGTACCACCCAAACGCCAGTAAATCCTTCCTCATCGTGAAGCCAGATCATTATGATCGGGCTTTGGAGGTTTTCGGCGAAAGTGAGGTCAAAATAACTAAGGACGGCCAAAGACATCTAGGCGCAGTAATTGGCACTACGGACTTCAAGACCCAGTACGTATCGGGAAAGGTGAATGAGTGGGTTAGCGAAATCCAAGCTCTATCGGAGATCGCTAACACAGAGCCACATGCGGCCTTTGCAGCATTCACCCATGGAGTCAAGCATCGTTGGAACTACCTGATGCGTACCATCCCTGAGATCGGACCCCTCCTCCACCCTTTGGAAGAAGCAATCAGTGTCAAGTTCATTCCCAAACTAGTGAAACACCCTGACTTAACCCGAGCAGAAAGAACACTTCTTGCACTTCCACCAAGACTGGGAGGGATGGGACTAACTAATCCAGAGGAGATTGCTGACTCTGAACATCAAAATTCACTTAAGCTCACGGCAGCCCTCACTGACCACATAATAGCCCAGAATGCAACAGGGGAAGTGGACACCAGCGAAGTTAATAAGATCCGTAGGTCCATTACAACAGATCGGCAGCACTGCCAAAATGACATGTTGCAGCAACTATTGCTGCTGGTTCCAGAAAATTTGACAAAAAAAGTTGCTATAGCGCAGGAGGTGGGCGCCTCGAACTGGTTAACTACGTTACCGATAAGGGCAAATGGTTTCAGCCTTAACAAACAAGAATTTACAGATGACATTGCTCTAAGGTACGGTTGGCCAGTAGATGGTTTGCCCTCCCAATGCGTGTGTGGCTCTCCCTATGATGGCGATCACGCCATGGTCTGCAAGAAGGGGGGCTTCATATGCATGAGGCATGACGAGGTAAGGGATCTCACAGCAAATATGTTGAAGGAAATCTGCCGGGACGTCATGGTAGAACCGACCCTCCTTCCACTGGATGGCGAGATCTTCCAACATAGGACTTCAAACACTTCTAACGAAGCCCGTGTGGACGTCAGTGCTCGAGGATTCTGGACGCGGGGACAGCGAGCTTTCTTCGACATCAGGATTTTTGATCCCATGGCCGTTTGTCACCGTAACCTAGCTCTCGATGCTGCGCATAGGAGGAACGAGAACGACAAGAGAAGGGCATACGGGGAGAGAATACAAAATGTTGATCAAGGCAGCTTCACTCCTCTAGTGTTCACAACCTCGGGTGGGATGGGCCCAAGTGCAAGATGTTTCTACGCCAGACTCGCGGAGCTGATCTCCGAACAGAAGCAGCAGCCCAGAAGTTATGTTACAGCCTGGATGAGATGTCGACTGTCCTTCTCTCTCCTTCGGTCGGCTTTGCTCTGCCTCAGGGGAACGAGAGCTTCCGCCCCTACTCCGACAACTGCTGCAGATATTGACTGAGGCTACAGTCACTGAATGCCGCATAGATCTGCGGCTCAACTAATTTAACACAGATAGGATAGCTTCTTATGTATTAGGATATTTAATATTAAGGTAAATAAATGGTGGCGAAGGTGTGGCTATTGGGGGAGGCTGGAGGCCACGTTAAAAAAAAAAAGTAGTATTAGTAGTCGTAGTAGTAGTAAAGAAAATTTAGGCTACAGACGGCCGCTAAGACAAAGGAAACACGTGCATTAGCAAACAATAACAAAATATCACAGTCCAACAGAGACCATTACTAAGACTCCTATGCAACCTAACCTACTCACACTACAACACTGTCTGATTATTCTGCTACAGATATTCCATAATATACCGGGTTATACCCTCTAACTTTAGAATAAAAAGTATACTCTGTAGCTTAAGTCGTTCACCAAGTTTCTCAGCTCATTCACAATTCTGGTGGACAGTGTAACGCTCTCCTCCCGACCCCTCCCCTCTTTATACCTAGAGTAAACAAAAGATTATATTTACCAAAAGATGCAGTTAACAGACCACAAAAACATTCCGGTACGGTTATAAGTAATGATTTTATGCCAGTTATAAACATGTTCATTTTATTGTGTAGTTGTTCGCTATATATAGCTACAGTTTTGAAGATTCTGTAGAGCTGAAATTTGGCAAAGAGATGCACACGAACCCGAAAATGTCACCAAGATGGTATTTTGGAGTTAAAGTTCAGCTACTGGTCTGGAACCTAATGAGCGCTTCCAAACATTTTCCGTAAACACTCTTATTCTAGATTGACGTTGAACTTCAGTGTATGTCAACGTCGCTAGGGTGACAACAGTAATATGCTTAATGATTATAATGAAAGCGGAAATAACCATAAAATAATAAATGAAAGAACAGCATATAATTACAAAAATTATAAATACTTATATCATACTGTCCTATTCTATTAAAGAGAGTACCAGAGCAACAACAATGTAATTATAATACAAGTCAGGATGCCAGTGATAAAAATAACAATGACATTAATATTTTATTAACTAATTCAAGACATATAATTAAAATGGCTACAGACGGCGAACTAAAATAAATAAAAACGTTTATAATTAAGATATCCTACACACACACACACACACACTCTCTCGCGTGCAAGTCTGACGACATCCTGACCTTAAAACTTTCCTGTCATTACCAACTCTCACAGCCCTGAGAGAATGTCACCTTTCTACGGTATATTGGAAGTGGGGGTTAAGTTGGGGAGTTAAGAGAGGAGAAGGATGAAACAAAGCGGTAGAGAAAAAAGAATACTCAATTCCAGGTTGTGGAAAAAGACGAGAAACTCACCAGGCCGGCGGTAACTGGTACCACAGCTGGTGAATGATGTCATGCAGCCACAGCCCTCCTCCCCGGCCACACTACACTTGCAGACACCAGCAAACAAAATATTATCCAAGTTTCATATGAGAAACAAAATAGTAATAATTGTAGCCTAATTGTAATCCCTAGAATGAAGGCGCTCGTTGTGGTAACACTGATCGAGCAAGTTACTTAACCTCTCCAATCATTTGATACTCCTGACCGGTCACCTTTATATTTGTCAGTAATTTCTTATGCGTACCTTACTGCCACGTTCTAGTTACAATATATGGAAAATGCGAAACTACATACTTGCTATAACAGACGTTTATGTGTAATATCAGTTACAATAAGCTGACATACTTTAGAAACATTCAACATTTGCACTAGGGTTTCCTAATTTTCCTCAAAGCACGATTGTATTTCACTATGTTCGTGTGTCGTTAACTTTATAACTTGGTGTGTGTAATATAAATGTTTTAGAAACTACGGAACCATAGTTTACACGCCTTTGACATCCAATTAAAATCAATAACTTGAAAAACATGACAAAATGTATAAATAATTGTCAGACAGGTATTCTGAACATTAACTTCTGAATGAAACAAGAAATGAATTCATTGTTTCCCAACTTGGTCATTTGTCACCATCAATCACATATAATTCTTCACTATGGACTTTTGCCGAGTGTGACAACCTGGCAACGGAAGCCTCAGGTAAGTGCAGTGATGCTCCTAACTTAAAGTTATGGCATTTATTATCAATGCTGCCAAGAATACATTATTGATTTTAATCTTCGAAAAACGCCATTAGGCCTTCCAGTCACGTGAAAATTATAATGTAAGTCACCTTCACGTCACTGTTTCCTGGAATAAAAATAGAAATATTACGTTTAAATGTGAAAAATAAAAACTCCCACAGTAAGCATTTTCACGCTTAATACTTACCGACGGAGCACTTCGACGAAGCGTTGATACAACGTTGTTCACAGCCATAGTTTAATGATTTCGTTACTATCTTAGTCACTTTCGCACACTGCTGTAAAATTGTAAATAGTATCACTCCCGGTCTGAGGTGGGCGACCGCCGTACTGAATTTGTTCACGTTGGTGAGTTTGGTGTTGGGTGCCGGGGCGGGGCTGCCTTATTTCCTCTCTCCTTCAGTTTGTTTGTAACAGCATTATTTTCTTAGTTTACCTCATTGATGTACTCAGCATAATGCACAATAAATTCTATGTTTCATATGAAAATGGAGCTTGATAAGTAATCAACAAGTTTTGCTTATTTGGTTTTTCAGCAACAGCTGCCATTTACACGCTGCCGGACGTACGATTTCTCTCCACTGGCACTTGTATCTTTAAGACTCCTCTTTTTCCACAATTCCCTTAACTAACACTATATCCAGTTCATATTTGCTGAAGTATTGTAAAGAAGTGACGTAAAGGGTATAACCCATATATTAAAAAGCCGGTAATTTAGTATGTGGCCTAAGACGACTCACGCGCCGCACGACGGTGTAGATGAACACGTGATGTGCTGCTGACCAATAGCCTTAAAGCTTGACTCCACTAAGCAGGAAAAATGTTGACGCTGGTTTTACATGATGTTTGCATGGAAGAGCAGTGAGATGGTAAGTTGCCTGCTGCCATGTGTGAGTGACTCATGGATGTGTATTCATAAGTGTTTCTTTACTCATTTAGGACACATTGTAAGCTTCAAGTGATAAATTAAGATAACTTCCAGTAATCTTTGTTAAACTATGATTTGAAACTAGGTCATATCTTTTCACTGTCAATGAGGTTAATTAAAGGTAAATGTTAAATATTTACTTAACACTGTACAGTACATAACATTTCAAATTCCAGAAATTGGTATGACAAGTACTCGCTCACCACATATATTATCTATGATGCCATGCCCTATTTTTAGATTTTAAATATGACTTGAATTTTAAGATAATACTATTGAATAATCCATTAGTATTTTTCATAATTTAATAGAGGAAACACATTAGAATTATGTAATATCAGTAAATATAATTAAGGGAAAATACTAAGGCACGGACGGTTCTCTAAGCAGTATGAGTACTGTATGGTGAGGTACTGAAGGATTTTACTAACATACTTATCATAGCGATGGACGTGTGTAACCAGACCAGACTTTCAGAGACACATGAATATTTGTCGTAGGTACTGTACATGCACCATACCACCAGCTAAGGGAGATAATTTTCTAGAAGTGCTTATGTAACTTTATCTCATAACTGGTGCCAGGTTAGAAGCCTGAGTGTAATATGATGTTATTTTTTTATGTTTTGTATTTCAGCCCAAGTCAATCGGTGAAGTGCATTCATCTATCAACACGAAGACACTTCATCGTAAGAAGCTTTCAGAAACAGGTCATCCATCTGATAGGCAGTAGTCTCAGTACTAGATCAAGCAGGTTGGTGGCGGTGCTGTGTCCTCCAGTGACACCTTGATCTGGCCAGACGTGAAGAAGTTATGCTATCGTAACATTGTAAGAATGTATTATGAAACGAACTTCCTTGGTTAGGCACACATGTTGCGGACTAAATAACATGGGTGATGACGTCTCCAGGTCTGGCGAATGGCATTTTCAGTTGGTGCATACGTGACAAAATCGTATTCTCAAAATGCCATTTTGGGACATTTTGGTTGAAGATTATTTTCTAATGCATCGCTAAACAGAAATATACAGTACTAAACTTATTTAATATTAAATCATGGCAATAACAAGTGATTAATTATTCTAAGCTCATATAAGCATAAACAAGTTATAACTTTATAAACATCTTAATATACTCTACTATTACCTGGGATAGCTACATTATAAATTAGTAAATTAACTTACTTGACAAGTTAGCACGTGTTTGTATCTAGAAGAGTTTACCTTCAAACAGTTTATTCTGCCAGTATCGTTTTCTCTGTATCAGAGAAAACGTAAACACGAGGAAGACTAACTTTAATATTTATTTACCGACACTTATTATGGTACCACTGAATGCATTCTCAACGTGTTGCAGGTATTAGTAATACTTATTTGTAGGTAATGCAGGTTATCTTTCAAAGCATGGCATTATAGCATTGTCAGCCTATTACTCACGGTCCTAGTGGTCAGAGTCCGCAGCCTGTGTGAGAAGACTCGTCTTCAGAATTAAAAGAGGTTGCCGAATAAGATAACACAATAAGAGGCTCTCGTTATCAAATATTGTTACGGTGACTTTCCTGGCGAGGGAAAGACTGAGCCTGATGAGGACGGTGATGACTGTGAGGGAAAATTAATATGCTATAATATATGAATTTAATGTACTGAAACGAGTGGTAGTGAGCCCGTCTAGTGCAACATCAGTGAAATACCTTGGGTTTCTGACTTACCTATCTGGGCTTAATTATGGCTCTTGCGTATCTGGGGAATTTATATAAATAATAAAATAAATAGAAGCAATGTTTGGATAAAAATTATTTTAATAAATGTTACATGTGCCTGAGCTCATACAGTGCCCCTTGAGTTGGACCATTGTTGTTCATCGTGGTATTCTGTCTAAAGGATCTGTGGTCGAAATGTTGACTTTTGATAATTAATTTGATTATTAAGTGTCATCATATTAATTCGCATAATTAATTATATTGCTAATTGATATGAGAACACTTAATTATCAGAATTAATTATATCAAAATTTCAAAATTTCCACCACAGATACTTACTTAACGTGTGGAGGACTACCTCTACTGATATCTGGAGCAAAACTAATTCTTCGACCCAAAATATATATTTAAGAATAGTATTGGTGTGATATTGCCACACGCCGCTATGTTGCCAAATTTATTCATCCTTTTCCCCAACAAGCGACGACACTAACGTATACCAAATAGATAACTAATGATCATAGACTAAATAAAAAGAATCAACGGAGTGTAATACAAATTGTCTGATGTGTTGACGTCTACTTAAAGCTTCAATAAACCGTTGATGACTCGGAGTGTTTGAAGTTCTTGTGGTGAAATATTTGCCCTGGGAGCCAATTCACATAAATTACTTAATGTGGCTCAGTTAGTGTGTCACAGTGGCCAAGATTTACTGAAATTTTGTGATGGAGATGAAGAGTTGGATGTGTGTGAGGGCAGTTTGGTGTAAGGAGCTGCGGGTGTGGCGCCAACCTCTCTATTGTGCTCAGATTGTCTATTTTATCATCCTCTGTCGCGCTGCCCTCATCTTGTCAACCAGCGCTCCGGGACGTGACTTGGTACACACACACATACACATATACACATATTAACTCGTGCACATGTACATCAAGGGTCACAATAACAGGGGTGAAATTATATTAAACATGGGACCATAACCCAGCACCATCACGGCACCACAACATAGGAGCATAGCACAGCACCACAACACGGCACCATCACGGCACCACAACACAGGACCATAACCCAGCACCACAATACAACACCACAGCACCCACAACACAGGACCATAACAGCACCACAATACAACTTAACCCCACAGCACCCACCACAACACAGGATACAACCCACTTCCCCAATACAACAACACAGCACCACAACACAGGACTATAACCCAGCACCACAATACAGCTTAACACAGCACCACAACACAGCACCATAACCCAGCACCATCACGCTTTACTTGCCAGGGAGCATAGGACAGCACCACAAACAAACACAGCACCACAACACAGCACACAATACAACACCACAGCACCACAACTTTGGACCACCTTAGCACCACAATACAACACCACAGCACCACAACACAGGACCATAGCAGCACCACAATACAACACCACAGCACCACAACACAGGACCATAACCCAGCACCACAATACAACACCACAGCACCACAACACAGGACCCATAACCCCAGCACAATACAACACCACAGCACCACAACACAGGACCATGTAGCACCACAATACAACAACACAGCACCACAACCACAGGGACCTAACCCAGCACCACAATACAACAACTTTGCAACACCACAACACAGCACCACAATACAACACCACAGCACCACAACACACAGGACCATAACCCAGCACCACAATACAACAACACAGCACCTAACACAGGACCATAACCCAGCACCACAATACAACCTAACCCACAGCACCACAACACAGCACCACAATACAACACCACAGCACCATAACACAGGATATAACTCAGCACACCGGCTACAACACCTGGCACCACAACCTGGGACCATGGCTTAGCACCACAATACAACACCACAGCACCCATAACACAGGGACCATAACCCAGCACCACAATACAACACCACAGCACCACAACAGCACACAATACAACACCACAGCACCACAACACAGGACCACATAACAGCACCTGTCTAGCTGCTGGCAGCACCCACAACACAGGACCATAACCCAGCACCACAATACAACACCCACAGCACCTACAACACAAACCACAACACCACAACAAGAAAGCACCACAACAAGCACCACAATACAACACCAGCACCACAACACAGGACCATAACCCAGCACCACAATACAACACACAGCACCACCATAACACAGGACCATAACCCAGCACCACAATACAACAACAGCACCACAACACAGGACCATAACCCAGCACCACAATACAACAACACAGCACACAACACAGGACCATAAGCAACACCACAATACAACAACACAGCACCACAACACAGGACCATAACCCAGCACCACAATACAACACCACAGCACCACTTTAAAACCACAACACCCACAACAAGCACCACAACAAAGCACCACAATACAACACCACAGCACACCACAACACAGGACCATAACCCTTTTTCACAATACGCGCCCTACAGCACACCATAACACAGGACCATAACCCCAGCACCACAATACAACACCACAGCACCACCAACACAGGACCATAACCCAGCACCACAATACAACAACACAGCACCACAACACAGGACCACCAACCCAGCACCCTGATACCAACACCACAGCACCATAACACAGGACCATAACCAGCACCACAATACAACACCCACAGCACCACAACACAGCACCACAATACAACACCACAGCACCACCAACACAGGACCATAACCCAGCACCACAATACAGCAACACCACAGCACCACAACACACAGGACCACTTAACCCAGCACCACATACAACACCACAGCACCCTAACAAAACCACAACACCACAACAAAGCACCACAACAAGCACCACAATACAACACCACAGCACC